TGAAGTCTTGGTCACCGCCCGCCCTCACCGCGCTCGCGCAGCTCATTGAGGGCGCTCCCCTGCTCCATTAGCTTCTTCTGAGCCTCCTGAAGCTCGTCCCGCGTGGTCCGCAGCTGCGCCTGCGCCTCAGAGCCTGGGAAGGTGGTGGGAAAGGGGCGGAGGGCGAGGCACCTGAGAAGAGCCCGCCTCACCTGCACTTGCCACAAGCCCAGTCCAAAACCCCACTTCTCCCAGCCTCCTCCAGCCCGGCCACAAGCCCCATCCCTTCAAACCGAAAGCCTGGACCCCACAGTCCTCTCACAACAGGTCCTGCAGACTGCGACCTCCTTCTCCAGGACGCCCAGCGCCACCCCCTGCTTCGAGGCTGGAACACACACACACACACACACACACACATGCTAGGGTCACCAGCGGGGACTCACAGGACAACCTTCACCACTCTGCGGCCAGCCCCAGGACCGTGGGGTCCCCCACCCACGCTTGCTCCACGGTTCCGAACGCACCGTTCCTCCTCAGCAGGTCCTGGTGGCCGAGTAGCACTTCGCGCTCCGTGGAGGCTGCGGAGAGAGGCTGCTGCAGGCGCTGTCTGGGGACTCGGGAACCCTCCCCATGCCCAGAGGTGCGAGGACCCCTGTCTTGGCACGCCCAGAGGGGGCAGGCAGGTATACAGTGCACTTATGCAGCCAGAGGAGAAAAAGGAGCACACAGATGTCTACCAGGGAACATGCATGCACACACTGAACACATATGCACACGTGTGTGCACACAGCATGAGGATCTACACAAACTCACAGGTACTCACACTCATTCCCAGGCAGGGGTCAGGGACCTACTGGTGGGCTAGGGAGGAGGGAAGGTCTGTGTCAGGGTGAGACACAGCCTCCCCCCATCCTGCAGTCACTTACCTTTGGACAATAGGATGCTCAGAACAAGGGCCCACAGGACTCCGGCGACCACTAGAGCCAGTGCCACCAAGAGGGACCTCAGCCGCCAGCACTCCCAGCGTCCCCAGTAACCTAGGGGAACACAGGTAGACTCCTGGGTCCCCCTGCACTAGGACCATCCTGGATTCCTGGATCCCCCTGGACTGAGCCCTGGACACTTGGCTGCTTCCAGGGAACTGAGGTTCAGTGAGGTTCAGTAACATACCCACCGTCACTCAGCCCCAAAGAGGCATAGCTGGGAGTTGAACCCAGGTCCACCTGGCTCTAGGGCCTATGGTGGCTCTCCTGCACACACTACCTGGACTCCCTCTTGGCCCAGACCACTGGAGCAGAGAGGGACCCAGAGAGAGGCCAGAGAGGCAGCCCCATCCTCCATACCTCTGGGGACCTCTTCAGGCCCACCGATCCACTTGCTGTACCCGGAGTTGTCCATGGCAGTGCACAGGGCATGTGCGGGCACCCAGCCTTGGGCATAGATATAAAGTAGCCCCCACCCCCATGTCACTCCACCCATTCTCCCTTCCTTCCTTCCCATCTCCTCTGTCTCAATTCCTGGTACCAGGGACCCGTGACCAATTGCAGGGCTGGGCCCTTGCTGGGCTGGGCTGGATTTGGGGGTGGGGGGTGCTGGTACAATTATAGCCTGTCTGGCTGGGTAGCTGGGGCCATATCCCCCAGGCTGGGGCTGAGGGCTTCACTTTGGACCTTGGTCCTCATCTCTTACAGAACTGGGCTGGGCTTCCCCCTAACAGGGACATGCGGCACCCAGCCAAATTCTGGCCGCTAGTGGTTCTGGAGAAAGCCTCCTAGGGCTTGGCTCCCAGACCAGTTCAGCTTTCCTTCTCAAGCCCACCCCCTGCAGGTGCCCACCAGAGGCAGGGTCTGACTCACTTAATCCTGTCCCTCTTGGCCCCAAGGGAGGAAAGAGATATTTGCTGAGGTGGTGGTCAGCTGAACTTTTGGGCTCCACCAGTGGTCAGGGCATGGAGCGGGGACACTCAGGCATGTGAGTAGCTTCTAGAATCCTCAGTTTTCTCCTCTGTGAAAAAGGGGACAGGGACAGGGCCTCCCTCACAGGGATGTTGTGAAAATGAAATAGGGTTATGCATGTCAAATCTCGCGCCATCCCAGGCATGTAAACTATACTAAATCTTCATTCATTCGTTCACGAAATATTTATTCAACACCTACTATGTGCCAGGCACAGATCTATGCACATTAGTGAACAAAAGTAGCCAATTCTTTTCTTCTTGGAGCTGACATGCTAGTGGGAGTGGGAGGAGACAGACATTCAACCATGAACACAATAAAAATGTAAATGGGGGAAAGAGGGTGCTATTGTTTAGGAAGCATTGAGATTCTGCTTATGGTGATGGAAAATTTGACAAAGGAAATTGATGACGTTTGCACAACATGACTAATGTAATTGGTATCACTAAGTTGTACACCTGAAAAAGGTTAAATTGACAAACGTTGTGATATATATATAAAAAAAATTTTTAAAAAAACCTTATAAACACAAAAAAGATAAAAGTAAATTGTATAGCATAGTGAGTTGTCAACAAGGGACAATATTGCCCTCCAGGGGACATTTAACAGTGTCTAGGGACATTTTTGTTGTTTGGTTGTCACAACTGGGGGGAGGGTATAACTGGCTTTTAGTAGATAGAGGCCAGGGATGGTGTTAAACATCCTACAGTCCACAGGACAGTCCCCGCAGTGCAGAATTGTCCCAAATGTCGATAGTGCCAAGGGTGAGAGCACTAATACAGCTCTGTATTCCTTTCCCAGTACTGCCGTAACAAAGTGCCACAAACAGGGCAGCTTAAAATCACAGAAATGTATTATCCTGAAGTTCTGGGGGCTCGAAGCCCAGTGTTATCAGGTGGAAACCCCAGGCTCTGCTCGATGTGACTCCAATTGGCCAATAAAGGACACCAAGGCGGGAGAGCAGGAAAGGTACCTTTATTTCATTGCGCAAGGAAAAGGAGTCAGTCAAAGCTGCTGCCGCCAAGACTGCTTCCTGAGGGCAAGGGGAAAAGTTACTTTTAAGGGGTTTACAAGTAGGGAGTTCATAAAAGTTACATCAACAACATTCTTAATCATACTATGCAGGTGCAATGCAGTTTACATATAACTTCTAAGAAAAGAAGGATTTTAATGCAAATCTTTGGGGGAGGAAGCTAAGCAAAGGAAACAGGATTTTAATGCAACACTACAGGGGAGGAAGCCAGTGTCCATTTAGAACTATAGTCAGCTGGGAATTGTTTGGCATATTCTCAGGGGCAAATACTGGACCTAGGCCTTACATTGTGGCTACCGACCTCCTGTTGGTTTACAACTATTCACTAAATATTAAAAGAAAAAGACAAGAGTGGCTTTTATGCACTGTTTATGTGAATGTTTCCCTAAAAGATATTTTTTAAAGATTATCCTAACTATTGTCTTTATACCTCAGTGCCCAGTTGATGTGTCTTTATGAGTCCGTGTGAGACCAGCTCCAGCTGGGTCACATTCTTTATGCTCAAGGACAGGGAATAATGGCTTCAATATTACCTCCTAAATCATTCTTTTCTTTTGATCAGAGATTGGAGATAACACATTGATGATTAATACCTGGGCTTTGTAGAGGCCCTAGATGGTGGCCACGACAGGCCCTTTAAAATCACGGTGCTGTTTTCACTGGATATCATCCGGTTCATCAGGATCTTATGTAAGAGCAATGTTCCCATCAATCGCATTGCCGAAGTGAGCGGACTCAATGTACATCAACATTTCAGCCTGAGGCTTTCTGAAGTGTCTAAGACAATAGAAGATAAGTTTTATTGTCTAATACCATCAGGATGCAGACTAGAATATTATCAACAGGTAGCATGGCCAGAGTGTGTATTGCTAAGAAGGTAAACTTGTCTTTTTTATCAAGTACTTACTGTGTTCCAGCCCCTCCTAAACACACCCCATCTTCTTGAATCCTCACAACAACCCTCAAAAATAATAAACATGATCCTCATTTTATTTAAAAATTTTATTTTTATACATGTTTTTTCCACCTTGTTCCGGGAAGGAATGAGCTGCTAGCTGCCATGGAGCTGGCCCCCGACTCATGGAGACCCCATGAACAGTAGAACGCAACCCTGTCCAGTCCTGCACCATCCCCATGGTCAGTTGCAGATTGAATTGTTGTGATCCATAGTTTTCCCTGGCTGACTTTTGGATGTAACTCAACAGGTTCATGAGGTGCATTGGCTGGTCATACATGATCAAATAAAATGAAAAGGCAAGAGGAGAAAAAAGGAGAATAATGGCAAAATGAGGGTGACGAAGATCACGTGAAGCTAAGAGTCAGGATTATAAACAAACTTCGATCCTGAGTTCCAGATTCTTGATAAATAGGGCTCCCCGCCTCCTTGCAGCAGGGAAGTGTGGTCAGTTACTTGAATCAGACTCCTGGAGATGCCAAGGAATTCTTCTGAGGAACCTCTCCGACACCACATGCATAACAAAGTCCTCATTGAACTTTCCGTAAATACAGTAGCAAGTTTCATTGGGCTGAGGGTAGATGGTTTTGTGACCAGGTGCAATTTTAGTAAAAGCAGATTTTTCTTATGGCCTGCCTGAACTCAAAGCACATAGCCATTGTTTCAAGCTGCAGTGAGTTTGAGACCATGGAGAGCAGCTGGCAGAGTGAGGGACTGGCAGTGGGCATTGATGGATGCCAGGCAGGGGTCTGAGGCTTGCTCTCATCTCTCTCCTTCTTTCTCTCACTTCCCTCTCTCTTCTCTCTCCTTTCCTGCTCCATCTCCCAGTCTGTGGGTTTTCTTTTCATTCTCTTAACAATTTCTTCCAAAGAACAAAAATTGTTCATTTTGACAAGGTCCAACTTCTTCATCTTTCCTTTAAGTGTTCTGCTTTTGGTTTATATCTCAGACATCATTGCCTAACCCAAACTTTGCTCTGATATTTTTTTGTAGAAGTTTTATAGTGCTAGGGTTTACATTTAGGTTTTTGACACAGTTTGAGTTAATGTTTCTATAAGGTGCAAGGTATGAACTGAAGTTGATTTTTGTTTTGTTTTGTTTTGCATTTTAGCTTGAAATGTTGTGAATCTAGAGGCAACCAGGAGTCCAAAAAACAACAGTACAGCGGTAAAGAACAAGGGTCTAGAGAGAGAAGAGCCTGGCGTTGACTCTTAGCTGTGTTCCTGTAAACCTTGGGTTACTCATCTATAAAATGGGAGTAATAGAGGGCTGTGGGAAGTGCTGTCTTGTCCTGTCCACATTCTCCTGGCATTCTCTCATAGTGAAGGTTGCTTATTGCAGCTTCTTTCTGGCCCAAGTGGAGGGCAAGCTGGTAGCCCAGGAGAGTCAATATCCTCGGTGAGAAGAACTCTGAGGCAGGGGCTCTACACCATCTTCCAGAAGTCCCCAGTGGGATTCAGACCCCGGGGGCCCACAGCAGTGTCTGCTCATGAGCGCCCCCTGGATTAGGAGTTTCTCTTGATTGTCCCATTTTCCGCTTCCTTTCCCAGCTTTTCCAGAAATTGCCTCCCAGATGGACTGTTTTTGTTGTTAGTTGGCATGGAGTCGCCTTGGAGTCAGCCCCTGACTCGTGACAATGCTATACATAACAGAACAGAATGCTGCCTAGTCCTGTGCCATCCTCATGATCGCTTGCAGACCGGACTGTTGTGATCCATATGATTTTTCTTGGCTGATTTTCAGAAGCAGATTGCCAGGCCTTTCTTCCTAGTCTGTCTTAGTTGGAAGTTCTGCTGACACCAGTTCAGCATCATAGACGCACGCAAGCTTGCCACTGATAGACGGGTGGTGGCTGTGCATGAGGTGCTTTGGGGCCGGGATTCAAATCTGGGTCTGGCAGATAAAGTAGTCATGCCAAATCCTTGTCTTAGGCTATCCTTCTGGGGGCCCCAAGCTGAGTCAAGGACTTTCTTAGTTGTCTCAAGGTTCAGCAGAGTAACGCACTCAGTCTGGCAGGGCTGGATGAGAGGTGGCTGTTATTGCTGCTATAATTTTCTTCCTGCTGTTGCCATCTACGATATACAGGAACCCCTAGCAAATGGTATTGGCTATGTTGTGGGAGGAAGACTACTAAAACCAGTCCCAATTTAAGGATTATCAATCTGTAGCCCGTTTTTCTCGGTGGTAACTAAGGAAGAACTATCAAGGCGATAATAAAACGGACTGCTTATACTTTATGGAGAGAAACCAAAAACTCAGAGAGGAAAGGTACTTGCCCAAGGCAGCCCAGCTAAGAAGGGTTGGTGCTCAGATTTCAGGCCACCTTCCCCCGTTACAGTGACTCTTCTCTTAACTATTGTGGGAAATGGAAAAATCATGGCCACAAATTCCTCCCAATCGTATACACAGAATTCTTTGCAATGTGAATATGTCACCCCGATCATCGGGAGGCAGAGTCTATGACCCCTCC